AGTGACCGGCAGCGCGGGTGCCGTTTGCCCGCGTCAGTCCATCCTAGTGTCTGCGTTTGAGGACCGCCGTGGGTTGCCATCCTGGCTCCTGTCTGAAATCCATGGCGCAGGGAGTCTCGGGGCTCGGCGTGCCCTGTGGTTAATTGACGTAACCCCTACCCGCAGAACCCTGCCTTTCTTTGGCTGCCTTTGGGAAGACCCTGCGGTTGTACCTGGCGAGATAAAGCCTTAACGTGGCGACCCAGGAGCAGGTTTCCATGCGTGTTTCTCAGCAGGCCAGTATTTGGAAAGAAGGCAAAATGAGTTCTGCAGCTCTCGCTTCACTGTCCTGTTCTCTCCCGCTCTGCACGGCAGGCAAGGCGCTGACGTTTCTGCTGCTGCAACCGCCCAGCCCCAAGCTGCCCGCGCACAGCACCATCCGTAGAACCGCCATCGACCTCATCGGCCGCGGCTTTACCGTCTGGGAGCCCTACATGGACGTCTCCGCCGTGCTGATGGGCCTTCTGGAGCTCTGCGCTGACGCCGAGAAACAGCTTGCTAAGTAGGTACCTCGTTTATTCACTTACCAGTACGTACTCACGTCGTTCCCCGTCTGTGGATCTAGGTTTGGCAGCAGTTGGGTCAAATCCTGATGGCTGCGGGACTTGGCAAGAAGGTGGGTGTGTTGGGTCGAGCTGCATAGGGCCGGGCTTTCTATCTGCATGCAGAAAGGGGGTGATCACCCACCAGTGGTTTGGCTGCTGCTGAGCAGTGCTCCAACAGCATCAAGGCTGTCTCCAACATCCCCCACCAGCGGGCTGGAAGGGGGCAAGATCTTGGGGGGGACGTAGCCAAGACCCCTGACCCAAACCGACCAAAGGGATATTCCATAGTCGAAGTCAGTTCAGATTCAAAAACTAAGGGAAAAGGAAGAGGGGGGGCATTCGTCTTTTGTGCCGTTTTGTCTTCTGGAGCAACAGCTATGCGCAGTGACGCCCTGCTTCCCGGGGAGGGGCTGGACATCGCCTGCTGATGGGAAGTGGAGCATAAACTCTTGTTTTTCCTTTTGCTACCGCACGCAGTCTTTGCTTTTGCTTTTTCTTTATTAAACTGCCTTTATCTTGACCCACGAGTTTAGGTTTTTTTCCTTCCCATCTCATTCTCTCCCCGCCTGTACTGCTGAAGAGGGGAGCGGTAGAGCAGCTTGGTGGCCCCTGGCGTCCAGCCAAGGTCAAACCACCACAGTGGGACAAGGAATAACGCCTTGTTGCAAGTTCTGCATTGATCTACCATCAAAATTGCAAACTCAAGTGTGCTTTAGGCGGGCTCGGTTTGCAGTCTTGGGTGGCTCGGAAAGGAAGGGTTTAACCAAGGCAGGGGAGATCTGGTCACTTGTGCACACCGGCGCTGCGGTGCCGGCTTCTCTTGGCATGGGGAGTCACCCCGGCTAGAACAGGGGGACACCAAACGCGTAGCAGGCAGTGCCTGGGGCTACACAGCATTAGCCTGATTGTGTTGCAGCAAGTTGAGGAAAGAAGCGAGTAAAACATTTTTTATATCTAAAATATGTCTGTCTAACATAATATTTTTTAACCTTTTCCAAACTGTAAAAGTAGTATTTTCAGAAGGTATTTTCCACTAGTGTGTCTGAATACCGGGATTTTTTTTCCCCATGGTTTTACAAGCCATCCCGTCAGGATGGGAGTTTTTTTGGAAAGTACCTTTTGGAAAAGGTGGTTATTTTATCAACAGCATCCCTAATGGCATCAAGGTAACTTGTAGATTTAAGGATGGTGAAGAAATCATAAACTCAGTAGACCACAGCCTGTCTCTAGGGTCAGAGAACAACTTATTAAAGCCTCCTAAATCACGATTTATATGGCAGGCTGTCTTGTACCTCCGCTCTAGCCTCCTTGAAATAAAATCTCCTTTCAATTAGGTATTTGTAATTGGGGTTGGGTGGGAGGCAAATTTCATAAGGGAGTCTGACACTTTGACATAAAATACTCAGGAAAAAATGTAATACAGGTTTTTTGTGGCTTTTTTTTTTGTGCATGGAACTCCAAGGGCATTATTTGTTCCATTTCTTAAAAATTGCTATAATTGTACAGGTTCCAGTTATTTATACACAAGTTATGTATGCGAGTTGGTACACTTGATGGTGCTGTGTGCTATCAATCACGCCCTCAAATCCTTACGGCTAAATCGCATAATTATGGCTAAACGCCTAAGTGCCGTCGTTAAGATGACTTGGGTAATAAAGGTGGTGTCTTACCTCTTCTTAATGCATTTTGTGCTAAGATAATGGGATTCTGGAATATTAGCGTTTGGGTTTAATGGCTGTAGCGTTGCAGGACATGAGTAGCATTTGGTTGAGTAGCCACAAATTTTATCATCTGAGGCCTAAATGTAACAAATTCCAGGTGGGGCCCCCGTGAACAGCCTCCTGTGAACAGCCATTGCTCACCCTTGGTCTGGTTAGTGCCAACATTTGCGCAGGAAGGGGTTTTGCCATGCAGTCCTTGCTTTTATTATTGTTCATTGTAAAATGGATCATCTCGTCTGAAATTTATTCTAAATCTATCTGAACGTTTCTTCCCCTGTAGTTAGTTTTTATAAAGAAAGCCAACCACTTAAAGGTGTGAAAGGAGAGGCTCCCATTTTCCACGTATAGGTAAAGGAAAAATAAAAAGTTGCTTGAAGAAGCAGCCACAGCAGGACCAAAGCAAGGATACTGTGCTTTATGTAGTTGGCTCTGAAAGAGATTTCAAGCTTCCTGCCTTTAATGGAAAACCTTGAAAAATATAAATGGATATACATTAGTGTCACTGAGACAGAATTCTCGTTTGTAGGTGCCTGGCTCTTGCCTCGGGACAGCTTAGGGCCCAGGTAGGAGACACCTGCTCTAGGTAGGGGGTTGCCTTGAGCAAACACAAATTCTGTGTTTATTTGGGTGTCGGCATGAATTAACGCTGTAGTGTTGCAGTTGTGCAGACATCCACTTGGAAAGCGGCTGTTCCTAAAAATACTTCAATTTAGTAATCATCTTCATCACATAAAATATAGGAACCATTGATCTTTTTTTCTAATAAAACCTTCGGCGCGTTTTTGTTGTTCAGCAAGTTTATGTTCTTGACGGCGTAGGCCGTGCCCGCGTTGGCGGCTCTGCCTCCGGGGCGGCAGAGGGGAGCCCTTGGGCCCGCCCAGATCCCGACGGCGCCGATGGCTTCCTCCTCCCCACCTCTTTAAGCCTGGCACCCCAGAAAAATCCCCGAGGGTTATTTTTTTTTTTTTTAACATATTTCATGCTTGGTTTTTAATTTACGTGGTGCTTTCTACATAAGCATTTTAATTAGCAGTGTTCCTTTGGCAGGAATTTGTAAACCATTCCGTAAATGTTAAACCGTTCGTTAACGGGGAACCGGTTTCATTGCTGAAGGAAGAAGGCTGACCCATCGGTGATATTTTCTTGGCGGCGTTTTTGCTTGGGGGAGTGGGAGGGAATGTAGGGTCTGAAATCGCCGAGGTCGTCCTAATTGATTATTTAGGCAGTGGTTTTGCTGTGTTTCTTACGAAGTGCAGAGGTTCGTTCTTCCCCAGGTGATATTTCACCCGATGGCGCTGCTGATGCCTGTCGGGGTGTGCCCCGAAGCCCGCCGGAGAGGTGCGCCCTGCTTTGAAGGAGGAGGAGACGCCGGCGGTGCTTGGGAGCCGGTGTAAAACTGCCCAGGCCCTGGGGCGGCCCCGGGGATGTTCATCTGCACGTGGAACGCTGGGCTGGGCGGAACGGGGGGGTTTGCTCAGCTTGCAGACGCTCTTGTCTACAGCATTGCCAAAATAGTATTACTTTAGATGTTAAAAAAATAATAATCCTTTAACAATCCGCCAGTTACCTGGTTTATTCGAAGGCTGCCGTTTGCTAAATCACAGTAAACGCTGCTCTTATGTTGCAACATAGGAAACTAAAATATATATGAAACTGTAGAATATCCTTATGGTTACAAATGTCCTACACACAATAATTATAAGCAATGCTTATAATTAAACTCTGTATTTATATTTTCAGTTACTTTTCTGTTTTAGTCAAGAATTTCTTCCGCTTGTCGCGGTAACATTGAACGCCGCGAGCACTTTTGCGCGCCCGTAGCGTTCAACCTTGGAGCTCAGTTTCAGATGTTAGGGTTCGGAAAGCTGTTCTGTTATGAATGAATCGTACTTTCCAGGTGTGTTTGCAGGTGTTTGCTTATAAACGCCCCCATTTTAAATGGCAGGTGCAGCGAGCAGCCGACCGGGGCTGGCTTAACACCGCGCGTGCGTTTCACCACCCGTCTGCGGTGCTAGGGTTTCTGGTTTCCTTTCGCGTTACCCTGAGGCAGAGCCGTTGTGGCTCCCTCGAGGTTTGAAGAATGAACGATGGCTGCGTGCTGGGGGCAGGTTCTGGAGGAAGAGGCACGGACTGGATGAGCGCTGTTAGGGTCTGAACCTCAGGGAGTTCTCGCGGAGGGACAAAAGCAGCCGGGATGTTTGCCTTCCCGGAGAGTCTCCGAAGCCCTCTGGTACGGAGACCTGCACTTCCAGAAGCCGAGCGAGCGCAAGTTCTTCGGAAAGTCATTTTCCTCTTGTGATTACATCCTTAGCTGTCATAAAGATTAGTATGGCTCTCTATCCACGGAGCGCTGAATAAATGAATGTATCAGCATGTAGCCTTGAGGAGCCCGATGCAATTTTCATCATGATAAATTGCATAATAAGCGAGAAAGTGTTTGCTTATTAATCCATAACAAGATTTAGATTGAAAATGGCCTGTTACATTCATGACAGATACAGTGCCGGCTGCAGACGGCCCCAGATGGAAAGAAATAGAGCGGCGATGTGTGCAGGGGGTTAAGTGTGCATCTCGCCCTCCCAGTGCCCCGCTGAGCCACCCCTTTTTGTGCCTGATTTACCGTGTACACAATAACAGCGCCTGCCTTCTCTCCCCGATGTTAAGGACGTTTTATGAAAGAGCTTTTATGTCAAGCTTCTGCTTTAAAAAAAAAAAAAGCTTCGCATTTACTGACCAAAAAAAAAAAAAAAAAAAAAAGCAGTGTGTTTCTTTTTTCCCTTCTGAATTAAATGAATATCTGAGCTGTTATCCAAAACTCGGGTATTTAGAACTCCTCCACTTTCCCAGTCCATCCTAGTCCCCAAAGATTGCACTGTGCCGAATGAAGCTGCTCCGTTGTGAGGATTAAGAGTATTTTCTAGCATTTATTAGGCTTTGATTTCGTGGCCTGGGTGATGATAGGGATCATTGCTGTCCCTTATTTTTGCTTTTTGAATTACAAGCTGCAGTTTGATAAAGATTATGGTATAATATACCAAAATTAGCAAATTGCATTCTAATCGATCTATTATGTTCCTGTATATATGTGTGTACTAAAATAATTAGGCTAAATCTCTTTAGTTTTGATTGTTTAGTGGAAAACATTGCCATGCTTTTATATCCTTACGGATTCTATCCGTGGAGCCATAGGATCTGTAGTAGGGACAGCCTTAATTTTCAAGTACAGTGGGACATGT